GGGGGGGGTAATGTGTGATACCGGAAATCTACCTAAATGACGTTTACTTAGCTGATTGAGCTTGATACGAATAGAGAGAGTGCAACCACATGTCGAAATATCGCCCTTCACCCACACCCCTCGCTTCGGCAGTGCCGTCGCGCCTGTCGGGAGGCCCTGCTACACCCATCCCCGCGACTGAAACGCCTCTCTTCTGCGTGGAGGGCTTAATCGGATCTTCTCAGAGCGGGGCGGAGGAAGGCCTTTAGGCGTTCTGGGCGCCCCGCCCCGCCAACACTCGCTGGTCGAGCGATTTACTGGTGCTCTCCTCGTTGAAGTTGAGCTGGATAACCAAGCCCCCCCCCCTACACGGCACACCTCGCGCGTGGTCCTCGACCTCGGCCGCGGTGCACCGAGTGCACCAGTGCGCCCGTAAGGTGCCATGCGCCCTGCGAGGCGATCGAGAATGCAGTCCCGCAACACTGCTGGCTGGAGACCATTCAAAGACACACCCGACATACATGCGACTCTCCAAAAGTCTAAAGCCGCCAATAAAGACTCTGATCGGCGCCTCAAGGCGGCATGACGTCACGACCTGTTGGGGCCACGGGCGGAATGCAGTGAGTGCAGGGGCAGCGCAGTGACGCGCTCCGTGGGCAGCCGGGGCAGCCGGGGCGGCAGCTGGGGCGATGCCTGGCCGGCGATGAGCCCACGCTGATCACGGCTTCATCAGAGCTGCGGACACCCAGCTACTCCATCCGGTGTATAAACGCCGAATACTGGCCGGGACGATCGACGATCGGTCTGCGTGCGCGCGGGGCGCACTGGTTGCGGCGGCTCCGTCTCCGAGAGCGGGACGGGGGGCGACGGGGGCCGCGACACCTGTTGACGACGTGCTCGGTGGGCTAGACCACGGCGCACGCCACGCTCACCGTTAGCTCATTGTTTAATTCATTGTCCATCCCCGAAAGGTCCTCGGCACGCACGTGGGACCTCGAGGACCGCAACGACCAACCATCCATCCTTTCTGTCTCTTCAAAAATTCGTGATGGCAAAACAAAGAAGTATCGCCTGCACGATACGAAAAGAGTTACTGCGATTACGACGCAGAAGCTCTAATACACAATGTTAACAAAGGTAGTATTTCGTAATTCTTGTTTCTGTGAAGGGCAAAATGATAGCAGCGTCTTATAGAGTCATTGCGGGGGTTGAACTCGCCGCGGCGTTGGCGTGGCGCCACGGCGCTAGCCGGCGCTAGCGAGTCGCCGCCGGTCGCCGACCGACTAATCCTGTAAAAAGCCGCCCTGCTTCCCCTACTACCCGTCCCCGCCTCCCCCCGGCGTGTTCGATCCTTATTCGTAATTAAATTTATCGTCAAAGTCTCTGCAGTTTTCCCTCGTCGGTGCCAAAAGCAGGGGCGGTATAAGGGGATGAAAATGCAAGATGTGGGAAATAGTTTAGGCGGGCGAAGGGGTTGCGGAAAAAGAAGGCAAAGGCAGAGGGTGGCCGTGGAACTGAGCCAACTCCCGCATTTTACCTAACAACCCCTCCCTCCGCCTCGCGGCGCCTCTCGCGGCCCGGGCAGAGATCCCGATCAAGGTCCTTGTCCTCTGGATGGGGGCGGCGGGCGGCGGCAAGCAAGGCCAGCACGGGCCTCCAGCGGCCGCGGCGGGGGGCGCGGGGGAGGCAAGGCGGCAGGACTACATAAATTCTGCGTTTAGGGGATTTCTCACGGCGGGGAAGTGTCTTGCTTTCCTGGTCCTGGTGGTCGGTGCAGAGGGAGCGGGTGTAGGGTAGGAGGTCACATGGCGAGAAGCCAAAGGGCAAAGAGAAGCTGTGCCTCCCGATTTGCATAACAAATCTGACAGCCCGGTAGAATATCGCCATCCGTGGCCACTGACTGTGTCGCCGCGAACTACTTTGCTGCGTCTCAAGAAAATGCAAGAAAGAGAAACATCAGAGAGGAGGTCGTTTATCTTAGCAGCTGGAGGCTGTAGGTCCATTAAGTCAAGCCAAAGTCCTTGCACAGGGCTGCTTCCTCGAGACAGACAGACAGACAGACAGACAGACAGACAGACAGACAGACAGATCCGGCTGATGGGTGGTCGCAAAGGTCCGCGACGAAAACATTGTATAAGATTCCCACATTATCATAATCGGAGATGTTACAGTGCGGGCCGCTTCATCGGCCGGCCTGGAGACATTTACGAGTTCTTAACACTTTTCGGGCATCCAGGCGCGGCGTGACGGCGTGACGGAGCGCGGGTGCATCCAGTACCCGAGCAGCACCCCAGCAGCACCCCAGCAGCACCTGAGCAGCACCTGAGCAGCACCTGTCTGAGTCTGAGTAGAACCCGTGCAGCACCCGGATAGACCCGGCTGCACCCTGAGCAGCACTCCTAGTGGGGCGGGGCTCCCCGAGCGCACACCTGCCGTCCAAGTGTCTTCCCTCACATTTGCCTCGCAGGTCCTCCTCAGCCGCCACCTCGCCGCGGCCGGTGACGCATCGCGCACGTGCAGCACGCGCGCGCGTGCGCATCACGCTCCGTGCGCAAAGGGATAACCATAAAAATTTATGTAACATCGGTGGTTGCGGCGTGACTTGTGAGGGCGTGCGCGTGGCGGTGCGGCGTGCTGCCCGGGCGGGAGGCGCTCGACACCTCTCCAACTCCAACCCCGTGTAAATGAGGCGGAGAGGAGAAGGGAAGGGCAAACGTTTTTTTCTCCCCCTCGTTTTTCGGCGCGGCTGGTTGGTTGGGCCGTTAGACACGCCTGCCTTGCGGGGCGCCGCCGAGCAGAGAGCGGGGCCGTCACGCGGCCGTCACGCAGCAGAGTGACGGGCGGACGTGCATGATCACTCATATCACTCGCTGCATCGTCAGTTCGTTACACAAGCCTCGGCGATTACATTGCGATCAATAATGGCAGCCAGGAACAGTGTCCGTGTGTGCCATACGAGGA